CCAGTACCACACACCAGCTTCTTCAGGTCACTTGGGCTCTATCAGCCTCTGTTTTCTCATCCATAAAACAGACACAGGACACCGTAAACACTCAGCGGTGGCTGCGGTGTCTTCATTTTTACAAAAAACTAACAAATAAACTGTGTTAAGGGATATCTCATTTTCTTGTAAATTCAGAGTGTTTTCTTTAGAGACTTTTTGTAAAAGCCCGAGTTACTTTATCTATGTCTACTCGTAAAACAGTACTTACGGGTTTATTTTGTCACTGTCGGCTCCCATACTGGCTGAAGGAAAGGACCCAGATTTTTATCATCGAACACCCAATATGGAGTACAATGTTTACCTGGCTGACTAGAAAACTATTTGATCAATGGATGCATTCATTCTACTGAAAGGTGAAAAGGCCCTGATATTCCTACATAGACAGATATGTGGGTCACATTTGATCTCTAAAATACAGATTATGTTTATTGTCTTTTTTTGAGAAGAACCATCTCAGCTCTAATCAGAACATTACATTTTAAAAGAAACAAACAAATAAAAAAAATCTAAACAGGAAAAAAAAAATCCCTAGTATTTCTCAACTACTAATTATTTTATTTACAAATTTTTAAAAATCCAATCATTCATTAAGGAGGATAAAAAACACTTGGTAATGGTTCCCCAACACGATGACTATAGTGACACTAAATGATACAATGAAAATGGCAAATGTTGTTTTGTTGTGTATATTTTTTTGGGGGGGGTTTGTTGTTGATGTCTAACCACACACACATAATCAATTAGTTTACCACACAAAACACGTAACAGCTGACTGGTATAGTAAGTAATTACAATGGAAAAGGCCACTATTTCAGATGTGAATAAAGGAGCACCCACTGAGGAGTTTAGATCAACTCTCTGATTTGAATTCTAAGTATTCTACCCACCAACGTCAATTTGATTCATAGCCACCACATGGGGCACAGGAGAACTGTTTCTACTATATGAGAAACAACAGGGTTTCTGAGGCTGTAAATCTTTATGGGAATAGACTGCCTCATCCTTTTTTCATGGAGTAGCTCAGGGGGTTTGAATCTAGGGATGGTTCAGTCAGTGATCTAAGGATTACTCCACTTTGGCACCAGAGCTTATTGAGAATTTGTGGAAAAGGGAGGTTAGTGTCCACAATGGCCTTTAGAAGGCCAATGCCTTTGACTTTCCTCACATGGCTGGGTGGGAGCAAGCACACAGGGGATAGATTATTAATGATGGGATTGGTCAGTCTTGCTATCCTACCAGGTTTAAATTGAGGTTTAGTGGAAGAAGATGGCAAGCTGGCTACCAGCAAGAACGAAGCAGCACAAAGCATGGGCATTATTACTCAGGGGCCCCAAGCCTCCAGCTCAAGGTGGAGCGGCAGTGATGGAGAACCAGAGACCAATGTGAGACAGAGTTCAACCGGGACATGGAGCCAGGGGCCTCCGCCAAGCAAAAAGACACCATGGCTGGCCGGACTAAGAACTTTGTGACAGTGACCTCAAGCCTCCCGGTGAGTATGCCTGAGAACGTGTTCTGACTAGCGAATTATATGTTTCTGCCAACCTGAACTATAACCTGTCAATCTTCAAACCCCAAATAGTCTGTGAGTCCTATGTGGCCACTGCAAAGGATTACCAGGGCCAGTGAGAGGCCTGGGCAGGCAGTGGTGCCAGAATTAAAAGCAGGTTCGGGGGCTTGGCTGACCTCATGGAAGGCAGTCTGTGGGTTTGCTCCCCTGTGTGCAGTCAGCAGCCATCAGATGCTGCTGCCCCTACTCTTTCTACAGTCCTAGGAGGTATCACTGTCTCCTTTTACAGATGCCAGAAGGAACATGTCTGTGGACACACGGCTTTATGTAGCTTGCAGTCTTTTCAGAGTTCACTTTCCCAGAGTTCACTTAGTAGTCAAGCACTTAACCACTGTGCCACCAGGGCTCGCTCGCTCTATCTATCTATCTATCTATCTTTTTGCCACCAGGGCTCTTTAGACAGAACGATCTCCCACTCCCAATTACATCTTATTGAGTTTCAAAACCAGCTTAACAAAAACCTCTTCATTCAAACACATTTGTCTTAACAGAATATACAGAGAGAAAAACTAAGGCTTAAAAGGTGTTCAGGTGAAAAATGCTGTGCTGTCATACCACACTTAGAAAGCTATGATTCCAAGGAGCTAGAGTACCTGGGTTGGATTCCTGGTCCCAGAAGTTACAATGTGTGTGACCTTGGGAGAATGATTGAACTTGTTCATGCCTCTTCTCTAACGTAAAGCTAACAGAATTATATATTGTTGTGTGACCTTGGGAGAATGACTGAACTTGTTCATGCCTCTTCTCTAAAGTGAAGCTAACAGAATTATATATTGTTGTCTGTTATAAAGACTAAGTTATCAGGTGTAAAACAGCAAATGCTAAGTGGTAACCATTACTATAGGCTAACTGTCTAGATGGACTGGGAAAAAACCCTTCTATTCGCTGCCACGAAGTAAGTTTTGATGCAGACTGACCCTTGCAAAACAGAGCAGAACTGTCCATAGTGTTTCCAAGGCTATAAATCTTTATAAAGACAGACAGTCACATCTGTCCTCCCTAAGACACAGACACATACACACACTCATGAATATGGACAAGTTAACACTGGTAAGTCCTTACTCTGTACAAGATATTTATCTTAAAATACTGAGTTACAACAATCCACCAAAGACTACATTACCATTTCCACTGTACAGGCATTGTAGGAGAAATAAAATCCTGGAACAGTATTATTTTTTGCAAGCAACATGTACACGAGGATTGAATTTTATCAGATTTCAATGTGAGGGGGACACTCATTAGTAGGGAACACCATGGTTTATTAATTTTTAAAATTATTTTTGAAAGCTTATATTTAACCTTTTACACATTGTAAAAAGGCCTAATAGCGACTCTGGTGATAGGGAAATCAACAGAGATTTGAATATTAAGCTGAAGACCACAGAGCTGAAAGAAATGCTACAGGCAAGACCAGTATCAGATTCATCTGCCTGTTAAGTCCAGTGTTTTCTCCACTTTGGTATTCACACAGCCAAATGGGCAAAATGCGCCTTCTGCAGTCTCAAATCTCTGGAGACTCAGCCAAGGGAACTAGCAACATGAGAATTTGCCCAACCTGGTTTTCCGGAGTCGGCCTCCCTGATCTATAGTGCTCCAAAATAAAATGGCTCCAACACAGCACAGCCTCTGCATGCTGGGAAATGTACAGATTATAGGGTAGGAGTCACACTCCAGGGGTTGACAGTCCATAAATATTTGTGACTGATGAATGAGGACATTCAATCTAAAAACTAGATGTGTGGTCTACTAGGCCCCATCACCTTAATTTCCACAAAGACTGCATCTGTAAGATGAGTGAATGGTTTCTTATCTCAGGGAGAGAGAGAGGCTGCAAAAAGAATTCAGCAGTTGCTACCGGCTCATTAGCCTGCCATTTTGAAGGCCACACATGAAAATCTCACTTGCATCCAGTAAAACTGCCAAGTTTACCCCTCACCATGACACAGGGCATGAAGACTAGGAAGAAAGAGGGGGCTCAGACAATGCAGATACCCACCCTCGAAGATGAAATGGGTGCAGTAGAAAGAGGAAGAAATCCACTAAGAAACAACATTTATAGGTACAATTTCCCATCAGAAAAAATACTAAAGCTGAGTAGTCATGTGCCTTCTTCTGTAAGCTGCACATGGTCCATACATTTGAGACAGACTGAGAAGTCCAGGCAACATTCCTATTTCTTCAAGTCCTTCACCTTTCTAGAGCTTTTCTTTCTCGCCTGCCTGGTTTTATATCTTCATAACATCATCTTGCCAAATTCCAGCTCCCACACACGTAAAACCAGAGCCTGATGCTCTCTAGCCTTAACAAAGAGAAAGGCATTGAAGGCGAGGACCAAAGACGTGATTATTTTAATTTTTTATTTATTTTTTTTTTATGGAAAGGTTAGCAAATTGTCTTACCAATGCTGTCTTTAAAAGCCTCATTATTACATGCTAGCTCTCCATTTGCAATAGACGATGGTGCACTCATTTTGCGGGGGGCGGGGGAGGAGAGAAAAGGGGGCTAAAATAATTTTCTACCCCTTCCCCACCACCAAGGAGACCAGTAGGCTGATTTCATACTGAAAAATCTGCTCACACAAAGTATGGGGGAGTTTGGGGTGAAGGCACAAAAGATAATGGCATTCAATGACCGCGAAAGCCATGGGGAGAAAGAAAAAAAAAAATGCTCCGATTCCCTGCCTTTGATATTTTTCCTCCTGGCGATTTGACCTAACTCTGCAACCAGTTCCAATAAATGCCATTTTCTCGGTTCAAATCTCCACCCTGTGCTCCCCAGGTAACCTCGGGCCCTCCCAAGCTCCCCAGCCAATGGCTGATGATGAAATGGCTTTACTGCAAAGTGGGAGGGGGGTCCCCCCATGGCGGCTGTCTCCCAAGGTTAAACCCCTTACTCATCCGGAGAGAATCAAGCAGGGTCCCGGGGATTGGAGAAATCGCCCTCATTGAGTAAAATCTTAGGTTTTTGGAAACTAGAAAACAAGGAAAAAGGGTGGCAGGGCTGGAAGGATGGTTCTTTGCCTTCTAAGGCGAAGGGAGGGGTCGCGCGCGGGGATCGAAGGTGGAGGGTGGGGTGGGGGTGGGAAGCAGGGGCCAGGTCCACGTTCGGCCATTCTTTCCGGCCTGGGGTGGAACCGCACCCCGCTGACCAGGCAGGGCCCCGGGCGGCCAGGGAGGCCGCGCCTCTCCGGGAGGAGAAGGGCCCGGCCCCGGAAGCAGGGAGGGGCCGCGGTGAGGCCAGGCCCGCGCCGCAGGCGTCCGCGCAGGGCCTAGCAAACCACTCCGATCCCCTAGCACCCCCAGATCCCGCCCGTGGGGGTCCACGATCAGACGATGAGCCCCGGCCTTGAACTCCCAGGAGCCTTGGGCAGATTCTGCACTTCGCTCACCGTAAGAGGACTGCAGGGACCAAAGATGCTTCCGAGTGAAGCCCCAAGCGCGATGACCGCTTCTCTCTCAGCCTTGCTCCTTAGGCGGCGGCGGCGGCGGTGGCAGTGGTGGCGGTGGTGGCGGCGGCAGCGGCGGCAGCTACTCCGGCTCCGGAATCGGCGGCGACAGTGGCGGCAGCTCCACTTCCGCTCTGCTCACCACTTCCGCCCTGGCTCAAGCCCCGCCCCGTCCCTCTGCTGTGCTCTCATTGGACAAACAGGGCACCGGGTTGCACCAGCCTCCTGAGAGGGGCCCTGATAGGAGGGAGGAAGGCGAGGAGAAAGGGGAGCTGAGTGCTGGGATGCCGTGGGGTAGGGAGTGTGGAGGGCAGAGGGTGGGAGTGGGGCGGAAGAGGTGGAAGTGGAGGGAAAGCGAGGCCCGGGAAAATGTGGAAATGAGCCGAGTTGAGGGCAAAGGGAAAGAAAGGCATCTGGGAGAATAAGGAGTGGGAGAGGATTAGGTTTTAGGTAAGGATGCGGGCATAAGGGCCATTCCGCCTGACTTGGCTGAGAATCATCCAGGACCAGCCCAAAGACTGGCCATCAGACCCCACTCCATCCCCAGAGCGTCCCCACCAGGTCTGAGGTTGAAGGTCATGGCCTTTCGCTTTGGAAAAGAGGAACAAGTGAAGAATAGAAATTGCTCATCCCTTAATTGACCCTTAATCCTCCCATCAATCCTTCATGGTACCCGTTTTCCACAGGTAGAATGTTGTTGTGTACCATCAAATCCGAACCACCCCACAGCTACCCCTCTGGAAGGTTTTTAGAGGCTGTTAGTTACACCGAAAGAGATTGCCTGTCCTTCTTCCGCCGAGCAGCTAGTGGATTCCAACTGTGTGCCTTGGGATTGCAGTGCAACTTCTTACCACAAAGACAAAAGATATTTTTTAAAAGCCTGTGTATGTGATTACTTGGCTAGGAAGTCAATCCCTAAGGAGCTAGGAAGAGTTGCATTGAGAGATCTACTGTCAAGGACCTCTCCGAAGTGCTAACTAGCAACGGTGTCTGTCTAAAGACTAAGGTGCACCTGATCTGAGCTATGGTGATCTCAGTTGCTTGCTATGCATCTGAAAGCTGGACAATGACTATGGATGACAGGATTGATAGCTTTGAGTGGTGGTACTGGAGAAGAGTGTTGAATATACCATGGACTGCTGCAAGAAAGTGAAACCAAGATGCTTCTTGGAGGCAAAGGTGGTGAAAGTCGGTCTCATGTACTTTGCCATGTTGTCAGGAGAGACCAGTACTTGGGGAAGTATATCATGCTTGGAAAGGTAGAGGGTCAGCACAGAAGAGGGAGACCCTTGACGAGATAGATTGGCATAGTGACTATAGCAGTGGAGTCAAGCGTGTCAGAGATGGTGAGACAGGCTCAGAATAGGGTAAAGTTCAGAGCCAGTGTTCATGTGGTTACTTGAATTGTAGTCAACCCAATGGCACACAACAACAACATCTCTGAGAGAAAGTTCAGGGAAGGAAACAGATCGCCCATGGCCACCAAATCCCTTGACAGTTTCCCCCCAACATTTTCCTCTCAAGACAGTTAACCATTAAGCCCAGTTCTTCAAAACTCCTCTCACCTCTTCTCCTCTCTTCATTCTTTAAGCAAATAATTACCAAGCACCTAGCTCATTGCGAGGTGTAGTACTGAGGGTACAACAGTAAACAAGACAAGGATTTGCAGTCTGGTCAGAGAAGGTAAATATTAACTAGACCTCTGTCATAGCTCCTTTATCCTTAACTAGTAATTCTTATTAGTAAAATCAATTGGTGATTCCACATATATGAGTTATTGTTGTATGCTGTCTAGTCGGAATTGCCTCACAGCTGACCCTTCAGTGGATTTTCAGAGGCTTAACATCACACAGGAGGAGATTGCCTTTGTCCCATGGAGCAGTTGGTGGATTTGAACCGTGTACCTTTGGGACTATAACACAGATGTTTAACATCAGGCCACCAGAGCTCTGTCCATAGCCTTTACTCTTACTGAATATACAGTGATAGTTCCCTAACTTGTTACTCTATTCCCAGCTATGCTCCATCAACTACCATAAGAATGCTTTAAAAAATACTGTTCTAATGTATCCTTTAGGACCCCTGGTTAATCCCCAGCACAGTGGGCTGATAACCAAATGGTGAGTGGTTGGTATCCGTGACCTGCTCTCCAAGGCAAAGAGGAGGCAGTCTGCTTTGGGAGAGATTTATAGTCTTGGGACCTCTTCGGGCAGTTCTGATCTGTCCTCTAGGCCCAGGATGAATCAGAATCCATTTGATGGCAGGGAAGTTCAGTGTATCATTTTCTTGCTTCAATCCTTTAGTGATTGCTCTGACCTAGGAGACAACATGTGAGCCTTCAGGAGGAGCTGCCTCTCCCTTTCAGCTTTTGCTCCTATTTCCCCACATCCTAACTACCCCAGATCTATTGGATGACTCCTGCCCTTCCAATATACCATATCCAATATTGCTAAACAGTTGGAATTAGCTGCCAACATTTTTTTTACAAACAGATTTCACACAGAAATTGGCATTTTTCTGTGTGAAACGGTGTCCACAGTTCTGTGTGGCAATAATTGGATGGCGCCAGTGGCTGTTCTTGCTAGAATGGGAATGGGCTTTCCAATGGGAAAGCCCATCCCCATGCGTGTCTGCTTTACGCATCTACATTATATGTTTTACAAGGATTTCTCTCTGTCACCCCTGTACTACACCGCAGTAGAATACCACACTTTGGGGAACATAAACAGTGTGGATTTAACTTTGAACTTGCAGAATGTGAACCGTGGTGAGGCTTCTTAGTGTAACACCTTCTCCCTGAGGGTCAGTCCTTGGCAGCCACACAGCAGTAAGCCAGAGATTTCTCAGGTTGGAGTAAACTTTAGTGTAATTTGACTGTGCCTCTCATTTCGCCATCCAGAAAATAGCCTAGTGGGTCAGAGGACTTCAGCTGATTACACCACAGATGACATTATCCATACGTGAGAGCAGTGTCTTTTGACAGGCATCCCTGAGTGCCTGTTACAGGGCTCCATGGATCAATTCTTGTCACCATCTCTGCATTCTAGGCCAGGGGTGGGCAAACAGCAGCTGGCAGGTTTAAGACTATTCTTGTATGCGCACTGAGTACATGCCAGCTACCGAGGAACATAAAGTAAGTGCACAGCAGAACTGCCCTAGATGGTTTCTGAGGCTGAAATCTTTATGAAAATAGACCAAAAATAGTACATTTTCAAGTCTTTTCACCGTAGAATGGCGGGTGGGTATGAACGACTGGCCGTTCGATTTAGTAGCCGAGGACCTACCTAGTCACTCTGCCACCATGGCTCCCTTAAATTCCATCCAGCACTTGGTTTTGTAAATGAGACTTTATTGTATCTCATTCACTGACCTGTGGTCTGTGGCCACTTTTGCATTTCAGTGGCAGAGTCAGTCTAATAGAGACGGTGTGGTGAGCAAAGGCTTTTTACTGGCTGGCCTTTTATGGCAAGTGTTTGGTAACCACCGCTCAAAACACTTAAAAGGATCTTCTGGACCCTTTCCTTTTTGGAAAAATCCCTTTGAACAAACAACTCATTTTTAAAAATGTCGTTTAGGCGAAAGTTTACAAAGCAAGTTAGTGTACGTTCCATTCATCAATTTAGACTCAGATGGTTTCATAACATTGGTTATAATCCCCATCTTGGGTCAGTACTGTCCCCATTTATTTCAACTGTGTTATTATTGTTGTGTACATCAAGTTGGAACCAACCCATAGCTGACCCTCCAGTGGGCTTTCAGAAGCAGTTAATCACATGGGAGGGGGGCACCCATCTTTCTCTTGTAGAGCAGTTGGCAGATTTGAACCATGTACCTTTGCATTGGCAGTGCTACTTCTTACCATTAAGCCATCAGGTTCTCAGTTTCATGAATGCATTTTTCTGCCCCTCTTGTCTACTTTGCTTTTAGGCAAATCCTACCCTTTTGACCTCAGATAGTTAATTGTTCTCAGGAGACAGTGCCTTCTGGGTGTTGTTTCCTTTACAGAGCTGCCTTTTGTGTGTCCTTAGTCCTAAGTTAAGGAAGTCTCTAAGGGCCAGAGTCTCTGAAGTTTCCACTAGTCTCTATTACATGCATAAGCCTAGTCTTTTTAATTTTTTGTTTGTTTGTTTGTTTCTACCATATGACCTAGTGGTATGAAACTGAGCTGCAATCACAAAGACACACAGTTTGAATCCACCAGTTCCACCGCCAAAGAAGGATGGGCAATCTTCTGTGTGATTTACTGCCTCTGAAAACCTGTCAGAGGGTCTGCTATGGGTTGGTTCCTACTTGACAGTACTCAACAATAAAAACCATATTTATGTTAAATATGAGTCATCTTAACATCCCTGGGGAAAAGGTGAATGTTACAACATGGATACAGAGAGTTTAGAGCTGATTCTATTTGGGTTTTTTTCCCCCCTGTGTCTCGATGAAATCTAGTTAACAACTCTGGGAAGAACTTTCCCAATAGGACATTGGACTACCAACCAAGCGCACCATACTGAGCTCTCCTCATAGAGAGGCATTTGCCTAGGAGAGTCCACACTCAGTCACCTGTCCTGAACACGACTAAAAGACATGAGCCCTAAAAGACCTTTCTCCAAGTTCTCTTTAAAATGAGCCCCTTTTATTTTTAAAATTTTGAATGAAAGTTTACAAATCATATTGCTGTTTTATCTAATGGACATTTTGTTTTACAACATCGATTATAATTGATTAATATAATTAATTATACTGTCTAATCAAACCCTTTTTGCTCTGATGACCTAGTCTGTAGGAAGTTGTACAGTTAACCTAAAGGTGGGGCTTTTCTGGTGGTTCAAATCCACCTTTGGCCTCATGGGAAAAAGTTAGGCAATCTCCTCCAATGAGATTTCGTTTCTAAAAACACACTTGGAGGGGGAGAGTCAGCTATGAGTCAGTTCAGACTCAATGGTATTGATTGAGTGCATCAAATCTATATTGCCTTTCCCTTCCCTATGAATCTATTAATTTTGGCTCCCCTCCCCATTCTTTTTCATACCTATTAACTCTACAAGATCAATTCTGTGTGTAAACCTTTCCTTAGATTTTTAAAAAAAGGTTAGTAATCTTAAGGGAGCTCTGGTGGCCTAGTGA